GTGGAAGAACATCAGATAAGACATGTTCCCTGAAAAGCATGGCTCTTCAAATGACTTCTTATTCTAAATATGCATGTAACATCGTAAAAATCGGGGGCCGGCTTTTTACGCCACGTGTTCGTGTAGTCCCATATACATCTTTCTGTGTACAGTGTATGTAATTTTACCAAGTCTTGGCCAAATTTCTTATCATTTTGATGATTCCAGAACCTTGCAATACACACAAATTCTTATATGCTAGATGATCAACCTTTTCTGGTCGGTTCCACACCGTTTCTTTCACAATGCAATCGCATGACCATAACTCAACTTCATCTTTAATTAAAAATGCATCATTAAGTTACCTTTTATTTGCTTTAGAACATAATATGAGGTTGCTACATGAACTGCATTTGGGGCAAATCTAAATGTCTTTCTGAAATTGTAGGCATTCTCTTGTTATAATGTTCTTAATTAGGTAGGGTATATTAATGCAATTTTTGTGCAACTCTTTGGTAAATATAATTAACAGCCCAATGGCCGAATCAGTATTTTGGATGAATGGGGGGGGGGGGGGGGGGGGGGGCACAATTCAGTAAGAAAATAAATTTTGCATTTTTTGGGTGTTATGTACCTACCTGTGCATATGGTATTCCAATTGAGTTTCAAAGGGAGGGGGGGGGGGGGGGGGCTTTTTGTTCCCCATTTGAATTAGATACTGGCCCTCTAGAATACATTGTGAAGACAACATTTTCTTTATTTGCTGTCATTTCAATATCATTTTTTCCTGAACGGTAGGGATGGTAGGGGATGCGATTTATTATTCAAAACGATATATAATTTGAAAGGCCCTTTTGTTGATTTTCCAATAATAACCTATACATACACATGTATGGACAAATCGCCATTATTATCAATAATTCAAATCAAAGTATCAAATACAGTACATTGATCGAATACGTTACAAATGGTAAACAGACCTGCTGCGTCTAACAATACACTTTTCATTGCGCTTCATGCCCACCCGATAAAAATACCCATTAGCATTCAAAGTCTGGAGCAAACCTACTGGTTGAGTGCCTCAGCATCAATTTCACAAATATTTTATGAGATTTCTCGTGAATATTTGATAACCTGACTGTAATTAAAGCAGGGACTTCTCTTTGTGTTCTTTTGTGTACGGAAGGAAACATAGGGCTTGGCTGTATACTGTTTTCACATTCGAACTTTTGTTAATAGTCTGGCATACTGGTGGCTCGTAGATTAATGGTGTCTGTATACTAGTATTTAGCAGGAGAAGATGGTGTCATAAACATGGATTTGGAAAGAAAATGCAGAAGATGGCAAGTTGTCTGCGATGGTTGTATAATGCTCTGCATGTTGTCTGCAAGAGATGTAAATCAATGTTATGTGTCCTATACAGAGATCAACCACCTTTTATATTTTTCATTTAAGGCCTAATACCCAATCATAAGAAATAACTCATTAATGTTTTAATTAAAAGAGGAATTATTCAAACACATGTATATACAGTGTAGGAAGGAATTCATTTTGTATTTTATTTTATTTTGATGTAAATTTGACAGACACTTCTTGAAACCACATTTGTACATATTTGTATAAAAGTCACCAGCTCACTAGTCTTGAATTACTATAAAATTTAATTTTTTAAACATTGTATATTATTGTTATTTAAAGAATTTACACAATAGGTTTGGTTGATCCAATTGTATATTATGTTTAAGAATTGAATTAATTGTTGACATTTGACAATAATTGAAATATTGCAAAATAGGTTTGATACATGTAGATACGATCAAAGGTTACAAAATTGAAGAAAAATAAGGAAAAAGGTTAAATGAATACCCTGACATCAGTTAATGGAATAAATGCGCTTCCACATTCTCAGGGGATGAGTGTGACACACAGGACAGGCAGATGGACAAACAAACACAAGTGGAAAGTGCATCTCAAACAGTTGTCTCCTCATCTAGAGATCTAACCCCCCCCCCTCTCCATCTTAAAGCGTGACCTCATTTCTCCCATATATCTCCATGTCTTTATGCAAGGAGCCTTTAGCACAGCTGCTTGTTCTGTGCAAGAATCTGTGACCAATATCTGGCCTACCTACTCAATGCAAATCTCTCATGTCCCGACACGACCCGGCGAAAAACCGTCTGACGATTACATCCATGGTGTATCTATGTATTCGTCTGTATGCATGTTCGGTGACAAAATTGGCATTGATTTAGAAAAGAGGTCCAGCCGGGAATTAACCAGCAGTGTTGAGCGCACCGAATTGATTTTTCACCCCCCTATTCTCTCTCGACCTAATACCCAACGGGGACTTCTGTCCTATAACGGGAGATGATGGTAATGTACATCGGTGATGCACCCAGCCCGACAAAGGTTTCCTTCACTGCAGATTCCAGCGCACATGAACAATGCCGACAACAATGGTACATGGCTCGTCCGTAGGAATTTCCTTTGTCCGTTTGCGGTCGTAAACAAGTGCTCCCCCTTCTGTAAAAAAATTATGAAAGAAAGCGTTGGAGTAGAAGTAATTTAGACCAGTCAACGCTTATGAATAAGACTACAATATGTAACTAATGCTGGCTTTGTCATCTCTGACTAAATTGAGATACTATCAATTTGAGGAATGCGGCTACAAGCAATAATTTTTTAAAAGATTGTACAGGTAGTAGAATTGATTCTTGAAGAGGTGATGAATAGTTTTAAAGCTAAATGCAAACTTCTTTGAAGGAATGTGATTAAGAAAAGCTGAGCTTCTTAGAGTTAACAACCATCTTACTTTTAGTTTTCTTATGAATAACTACCATAATGCTTAATTAAATGAAATACAAATTTCAAAGGGTAATTGGCAAGTAAAAGATAATGAATTCTCTTGACAGAACTTTTGTTGAAACCACCAGGGAATATATTGTATGGGTGTATTATTGAATTAAAAAAAAAACATATATGCTTCCGTTGAAGGTAAAATAAATTCAATAAGAACAAACTACACATAAGAAACATTGAGGACACACAGCGTTATAGGTTATAGCATTCGAAAAATGTAAACCCCCGCAATATGCAGTATGTGCCATGCATAGCAGTTGAATTGTCTATGATGTATCATCGACACATCTACCTCCTACATGTGCCTATGCCCAGCTTTGGAAACATGTATTTTCACTGCATTTAAAATGCACAATGCCCCCCAGCCCTCTATGTGTTCATCTGCTTCCGTTTAGGGACGGCATGCATAATTCATGACCAGTGCCCGCCCGCCCGCCACTAGTGTGCGAATTCGACTGCAGACGACGAATAACGAAACTCTGATTTCGCCGCCGCCGTCGTCTCCGTCCCCCTTTCGTCGAGCGGTGGGGCCTCACGGAAAGAAATTCAGTACCTACAGTTCCTATTTCAATCTGTTTATCGGTGCTCTAATCCGAAGTTGGCTGAAAACTATAGGAAAGTAATTGAATTTACTGCACCAAGGGGTAAAACGATGAAGAAACATTCATGTTGAGTGCTACAACGCAGAAGAAGATCTCCAATTCTATAGTGATAAATATTTTGAAAATAAGGAGATAGCATATTCTTGTATATATGTTGATAAGTGAAAGTAAATTGAGATATAATAAATTTAGATTTCTTGCAGGTTCTCCATTAAAATTTCTTTGCATCCATTTCATTTCAATCTATTTTGATGTATTCATATGCTTCTGCATGGATATTGAGACAGTTTGTTCAAGTATGGTTACATCTATTTATCATTTATCATTTTACTTGAATGTTGTACTTGAAATATCAATGAAAAAAAGAAAAGACTATTAGCTACATGTTCCAATTTAGGGTAATGTATTTCTTTATTCATTTTTTATAACATGACTTTCAAAAATAAGTAAACAAGTCGACAAAAGATTAATTAGGAAATATTTAGATTCTTACCAAAAGACGATTAAGGTTTTTGCTATTTCAATCTGTTTATTGTGCCATAATCCAAAGTTGGCTGTAAACTATGGGAAAATAATTAAATTTACTATATTTAGGCTCAGCTAATTTTGTACAATAAATACACATACATGTACTTCTAGTAACATGGGGGTCCCAAAGTTGAGAATGTGGAAGCATTGCTTTTGCCGGCTAAGAAAATTGTTGAAACATGTTGTATACCGTGCAACAAGCTGACTAGCAAAGCCTAGGACATTTCATAGACTCTCGTCGCAGTCGCCCCGGGCCCTCGGAGTGCAACAGTAGCTGGGCCGCTTTTTCAAAGCCTTTTGAAAGTCTTTTCGCAATAAAAAAGAGAGAAGGGTAGGTAAAAGAAGCGGACTTGGGTTTCTCGCCCGAGGTCGGTGAGCGTTGGCTGTCGTAATGCTTGCGATGAGAGAGCCTTTGCTGGGATGCGAGGGATGGAAACGTGATTCCCTACAACCCTGTCGGGTAGATTTTTTCGGCGGAGGAGAACGAAAATAGAGGACGGACCGTTGTGGAGATGATGGGTATGGTGAGAAGAGGAGGAGGAGAATGGAGAGAGAGAAAAAAAGAAGCTTTTGTGGAGATTTTAATCTCCGGCTAACCAAAATGCCACATACATTCAAGGTCATTGCCATGGCCCTCCTCTCTGCTTGCGACCAAAGTGAAGCATCTTTAGTGAGATCTTGCGAAAAATACTTGGAGGGTACTTAGAAGAGAAAGACACGGAGGACACATTATGAGCAGTTACAGTATACACCTGTATATATCTACGTTTAATTTTGTTCTTCTGAACACCCCTTTAAAATGTATCAGATAATACAAGGACAGATGCATGTAATAATATATGATATAATGTCGTTTTGATAAAGTGAAAGTTGTTACAAATTTTAAAGATTAAAAAGGAGATTGTCATAAAATGTTAAGACTAATGATATAATGATTATAGTATGATATGTTTATTAAAGCAACAATTGACTATTGATATTAACTTTTTTTTCCTTCTGTTTGTATCTTCCTAAACCTTCTCTCCTCCGCAGTTAAATTATACGACAGTAATGCCTTTTCAGGCTTATATTGGACTGTATATCCACCCCAAGATCCCGATTCTCAAACATATGTGGGGGTAAGTAAAGTTCCATTTCAAATCTTTGTGTATAAACCACATTTATGTCATCTTCATAGTAATGTACAATGTATGGGCAGTATATGTATATTGTATGTTTGGTGCCAGAAGGATGTTAATTCATATACTGTAACAAAGAGATAACTCCCTTCTGGCTCTGTACAGATGATATGTACATGTTTATGTATGTTATGATGTTCATTACAACAAGGTGTACATTTCGGCTTGGTCTGTAATATTAAAGGCAGTAACTGTGTTACGCTGTAAACCATGTTACAATAGGCTGTTAATGATCAATTTACTACAGTCACCTTAAACTTGATCACGGTTATGCAAGGACAAGTTCAATTTGTTCTTTTTTTTCCCCTTTTGTGTTCTCTCATCTTGCATAATGGTGCATATTTGAGCTATCAAACGGTAGTTCATTAACAACTTGAGTCTGTTATCAGATAATGAAGACATTCAATAATGGAATTACTGAATTGAACCATAATCACACATACAAACATGCAAGAAGACAATGCAATGTACACAGACAGGACCATTACAGTTCCATTAAGTGGGTCTAGGTCCTAATGTGGTCCTGAGGTCCAGTTACAAGGGCAGACAGTAAACACGACTGGAGTCTAACACCTTGGTGCTAACTGCTTACTGAAGATGGGGCTTTTGTTCTTGGTTTGTGGACAAGTAAACACTGAAATATAACAAAAGGGGGGATGGTCAAGGGTGTGGAGGAGAATGAAGAAAATACAAATGGATGGAGCGGTAGAAGAAGGGAGGTACGTACTCATTTAGGCCTGACTTAGAGATGGGTAGAGAAAGATAAAGAAAGAGACAAAAGTAGAGAAAGAGAGAGGCAAAAAGACAGACAGAAAGAAGAAGAAGGATGACGAGGAGGAAAATAAGAGCGAGAGAGAGAGAGAAAGAGAAAGAGGGAATGTGGGGTGGGAGGAGGGGGGGGGGGGGGGGTGGACAAACAGCATCCATTACATTGGAACTGCATGGATATCCAAGTTTTAACATCGAACCAAATTACATTATTTGATTCCAAATTACAATCACTTCATAACTTAAAGTTTGCAATAATAAAACAGTAACCATTAAAAAAAAAAACTGTCTTTAGCAACCATGTACCCTTTCCCTTCAAGTGCGAATTCCTGAGATTATTCAGAAGGAACTATTTGCCAGAAGCTAAAATTGTCCCCTACGCTCAGGATTTCAAACGGGTCGGTCTGAATTTGGCCAGAAGCAAAAGTAAACACATGTCATTTTCACAGCTAAGGACTTGAAGTTGTTTTCAGCAACCAAGGACTATTTACCGCAGTTCCAACGAAAGCTTTGTGCTGGCACTTCAACTGGCTCAGGATTTGGAAACTGGCATGGTTGCATTTACCTTGAAATATCTCTTTGAAATATCATAATAAAATCATATATATTTTCTAATATGTGAAAATTGCATTTCAGAACTTAAGTCTTCCTCTGTAGGGTTCACATGAAGTTAAATTGCAAATTGCTTGGTCATCTAAAAATATAATAATGCTATATATCACGTGAAGTAGGCCTAGATGTCAAACATCATCTTTAAATCTGTTTATTCAAATTTATTTGTTTATCTGTATAGTTGTAAAATTGATAGATTATAAATATGACTCATGATATATTGTCTGTTTGGGGCGAGAATGGTATTAACTCTGTCTTAAAGTAAAGTAAAGGAGTTTGTGCCTTTTTGGTTCCAAACAGACAAGATATCACATGCACAATATCAAACATCTTTACTGTTTGTTTAGATTGAATTGTTTATCTTTAAAGTTATAATTTCTAAAGTATATATATAAATTATGATCACATGCACTTCATCAAACACAGTATTGTGTGTCAAGATTTATATTGTTTATATTTAAAGTTATAAACTTAGAAGTTTAGATTCATGATAATGACTCATACTTGGTAGGGCATTTTTCGATATGGGGGATGCCATAATAACACTTGTACCTTGTATTTGCCGAATACTCAGCAAAATAAATTCAGCATTTCTATTTGACATGATCCTTTCTGCACAATCATTATACAACTTGAACCAAGCTTGTTTGATCAGCGAAAGAGCTCCATTTCAAAGTACAGGAGCTCTAGTGCAGTCTTGGTATACATCACAAAATCAGAATTAAGAAGTTTATTAGCATGTTTCGACCTACGTACGAGGCACGTGTAATTTTCTACGAAAAAGGCCTTTATATGACAAGCATGTGATGGTTCTTGAGTATTTTGAGATAATGTTGATTCAGCAAAATGCTGATATGAATTATGTATTTATGTTAAATTCTAGCTTTGTATGAAAAAACATTTTATATGACAAGCATGTGATGTTTTTTTAATAATACTATTTGGAGATAATGTTGATTCAGCAAAATGCTGATGTGAAATATATAATTGTGTTAAATTCTAGCTTTGGATTTTTATATGGGTCTTTGATAGTAATATGGAATTATATGATTTGAATTAAAAAGAAGAATTGTCAGCTTGTCAGTTTAGAGTCAGAAAAGCTTTTAGCACTGTATTATTTCTAATGTTTAACAGGTAAATTTCTTAAAGAAAATTGATATCTGACCTTTTGAAATACATGTAGGAAAGCAAGATGTCAATTTGTCTGTTTTGAGCCAGAAGGGCTTTAACCCTGTGTAGATATACATGTGGATAATTTTGTGCCCTTCTGGCGCTCTCCCTCCTGAAAAATGGTATGTGATCTTTATAACTAGATCACAGGAAAGATTCCGAGGCACACGATAGATCATGTCTTCTGTTCCAATCTAAAATTGAATTTCCAATTTCATACACTGTCCCGGCAAATCTGTTCAATTTGTCTCCAGTGGCCATTTACATATTACAAGTAGTGGAATGTAGCCGAGGGGGTAGGCTTACAGGTAAGGGAGTCGGAGGGAGGGAGAGAGGAAGGGAGGGAGAGAGAGAGGGAGAGAGAGAGGGAGAGGGGGGGGGGGGGAGGGGAGAAAGTGTGTGTTATGGACTAGCTGCTAGTGCTACTGTACAAATCCATTTCACATGGAGTTAGATCCGCTGAAATAAGAATATGCAGATTTTGTAAAGCATTCTTAAAGAAAAGTAAGAAAAAAGATGTTAAGATTCAATAAAAAGGTGTTGAAATTTAAAAAGAAGTTAGCCATTTTAGCAGTATTTTAAAGGGAGATGAGATATTTGCAATTTTACAAAGATTTAATGTCATTCTGGCTCCAAACATACTGTCATGAAAGATCTTTCCATGTTTAATAAATGGGAAAAGGGGGCACATATTACATTGCAACCTACATACATGTACGTCATGCAGATATGATTTTACGATGTATGTTCATCATGCCCGTGTGCCAAAAAAGGGAAAGGGGATGAGATATTTGATCAAATTAGAGGCTTTTGTCGTTTGAGAGCTTGTTAGAGCGTGCCGGGATGCAATCATGGGACATCTAATTCAATTCATTTGTTACGGCTCACTACCTTGTGTGCTTATGGGACTTGTCGCATGCGATACTTTGTATTGATTATGAAGCGTAGTAATGGACCGCGCCGCAGAACGGCGATATTTTTGCCGTAATTCCCCGTCGGTACAATATGCCGGTGATGAAATTTGTTCATGTACACCTGCCCTCTGAGTGCTCCCGCTTATTATGCGGGACGATAAATGAGAATATATCAAATTTCCTAAATGTACATTCCCTACATGATTATGACGTATCATCTGTTCAGAGCCAGAAGGATGTTAACGTACGTTGGTGTAAAAGTTAAGGAGTTAACACCCTTTCGCTCTCAACAGAGGATATAATCTTATGAGAACCAGGAGGGCATTAGTAACTTCTACACACACTGTTTAACACAGAGTTAGCACCCTTCTGGCTCTCAACAGACGATATCATCTTGTGAAAAGCAGAAGGGGTTTACTCCTCTACACACAGTGTTTAACACAGTGTTTAACACAGAGTTAGCACCCTTCTGGTTCTCAACAGACGGTATCATCTTATGAGAACCAGGAGGGCATTAACTCCTCTACACATAGTGTTTAACACATAGTGTTTAACACAGAGTTAACACAGAGTTAACACAGAGTTAACACAGAGTTAACACAGAGTTAACACCCTTCTGGCTCTCAACGGACATTATCATCTTGTGAGAGCCAGAAAGGTATTAAGTCATCTACATATACTGTTTAACACAGAGTTAACACCATTCTGGCTTTCAACAGAGGATATAATATTGTGAGAGCCTGGAGTTCATTAACTCCTCTACATATACACTGATTAAACACAGAGTTAATGCCCTTCTGATTCTGAACAGGCAATATTAATGCATGGCTCAACAGTGTCGAACCCAAGACACCAGTGGCTATCAGTATCAGCAAATGACCATTCCTGAATTTAGATTAATTAACCAAAATAATCAGTTGATATCTCATGATGGGAAAGAACAGACAGAAAGTATCTGTTCTTGTTTTGTTTTGTGATTTTCATTTTAACATCCTCAAACTGTGAACACCTTGCACTACAGAAAAGCTAGCTAGCTCTTCTCTCTGGGAGGCTTGTCTTATGCACATCAACATCATCGATAGGCCCAACATGTTGATTTATATCTTGTTCTAAATCAGATACAGTTGTCTGTTAAACAATCATATCATGATTCCTAATGCAATCTACCCCCCTGCTCACACAAACGTTGCCGAATATTGATCAAATTATGAGATAGAGTGCACAAAAATCAATACGTTTCTTCAATTTTCCCTTTTTTCTGTTTATTCTGAAGTATAATAATCCGGACTATGTGGTAAGTACCAGAGATCATAATCAGTTTACAAACGTATGAATGTTTCCCAGTGTAATAACAATTATTGATTATATTATCCCACTCATAGAAACCATATATTTATCCAGTCAGTATGATAGTTGAACTGTTCATTGATGTCGACAAGTAATGATTTCTGGACTACCAGAGTTAATTCTTTGATC